ATACTTACACTGCGTGCTTGCATACCCATCACTTGCATACTTACACTTGCATACTTTGACACTTGCATACTTTGCACTTGGATGCTTTCGCTCTTCCACTTACACTGTGGTGGAAGTGTCAGTGTGTAAGTGTAAGTGTCGAAGTGTCAGTGTATGTAGTGCAAATGTGGTGGAAGTGTCAGTGTCGAAGTGTCAGTGTTCAAGGGATTGTCCGGAAGAACCCTTCGCAATGCTTTCGGGAATATACATATGTATCCTAATTCTCCCTACTCAAGAATCTGAAAAATATGTAACATCTAGGAACCATCATAAAGGCTTCGGCTTAGGCTTCTTCAAGGAAGCTCCCCTTGGGCATCAAAAACAACATAATCAATAATCACAGCCCCTGTTGTCAGTTGTAGTGTTTGTCCGAAACACATAGGGAGGGCAGTGTGGCTGCAGGACAGGTCTGTCCGAACTATCACTCATTGAGCTGCTGCATGTGGTATTGGGCACATTGAGTGTCCAGCAGCCACAAAAATGGTGAGCACTGCCCCAGCAACTGGCAACACGACCTGCAAAATGCATGGAAATATACAAACACACAGACATATAGACCGTCTTTCTCATGTCTCAAGCTTGCTCCCAGCGCCTCACTGCTGGAAAACAGAATCCAGGGTTGTACAACCGACGCCAAAGTCAGCAATCCAACAACTGAGAAGGTACGAAACCAGGAGCTCCGAGTGTACCTTGCACTGCAAGAAGCACAGGGACAAAATGTGACTTGGCATCTCAATACGCGTGCCTCGTCAACGAACGGATTTCATTCAAATTTGCCTGAACGCTTCTCACTGCCTGACGGAAGGTTTTGAGAAACGCATGGGCTCATGTGGGCTCAAGGCGCTTCCAAGTGTTCATGTCACCGAACCTGAACTGCCGGTGCTGGTTTGTAAGCTTCAGCGGGACTGCGATCTTCCCAAATCTTTTTCAGCCTATTCTGCTCAAAGGCTTTGAAAGAAAAACAGGAGACGACAGGATGGACAGCCTCCGTGGAAGCCAAGGATTCGACAAGCAATGTCGCACACTTCAAGTCGAGTCTAGTCGCACCAACTACTCCGCCTTTGTTTCATTTTGAGTGTGGTATGTATATAGTTACTGTATACATGTATACATATACTTCAAACCTTGTCTCCTTCGGAGGGGAAGGTAGGCTGTGGGAGGAGGGAAGCTTGAACCACTAGCAAGTAGCGCTTTGTAGCAAGGACGCACAAGCTGGAGAAGCTTGATTGAAGACCCCTCGCTGTAAGAACCAGTTCCTAGATTTTTATAGATTTTTAGGGAAATAAGTTCATCAAACCTTCCGCCAGACTCATCCACTTTGCCTCACAGCTCCTCGAAGTGCTCTGTTTGCCACGTTCATAGGAGAAAGTGCTTCAAGCACCGAAATTCTTCCCGTTCCTTTTGGCCTGAGAACAGCACGAATTGAATGCTTGTTTCTGCAATCTGCACGTGCCTGCCTCAAAGACCGCTCAGGACGATTGGAGGAATCGGACATTGAGCGCAATCGTGCCCAAGGTTCGACCTGAAGCAAAAGCCTGCTTTTTGCAAGCTATGCACAACATCAGCCGGCCTTGCGCAGAACTTGCATGTCCATGAACTCCTGGGCAAACAGCGAGGGTGAGAACTAAAGATGTTGGTAGCAAAACCATAGAAACAAACAAAAACATATCAAAACTGGATCTATTTTGCGCAAATACTCGAGGACAGTCTGAAAGCACCCTAAAGTAAGGTACAACTTCCAAGACAATTCTCAAAAGAAAAGGGCACACAGGCACACAAGGTACCAAGTGGAATTAAAACCATAACACCCTGGGAACATAGGCTCATACGCATTACTTTGTGCAAAAGAGTCTCCTCCTCGAGCTTGGCAGAAGCTTGCTGGGATTGCCTCGCGGGAAAGGAATTAAAATCAAATAACGCTGGCTGAAAGAAAGCCTTGATTGACGACTTCAGGAAACCTATGGTAGTCAACTTTGGAGAGACTTCTGCGCAAACACTAAAGCAATGGTCCCGACAAACTGCGACATTCGAAAACTTTGGTTCAAGAGATGAGACGAGGTCAGTCAGATCAGAATGAAGAAAATGGCAGGAAACAAAAACACTCGAATCACTTGAGCTCCGATCAATCTGGTACCAAGGTGGAATGAATGGGTAAGAAGAGCATGCAAAGAAAGATACTGTAAAAGAGTGGGTGTGGCGAGATTGAGAAATTTCAGGAAAGCTCAACTGTTCTGGAGCAGTCAATTAGATGAGAGAACGCAGTGAAGAAGCAAAACTGAGGTATGATGGGAGCAGTGTTGGGATGAGACATGGCTGAAAGATCAGGGCCTACGTGGTCTGAAGTTGGAGCAGCGTCATAAAGTAAGGTAAAATGGAATTTGGCCAATGAACTGGGATGAAATGGAGTTAACACCAATGAATTGAGGTGATGTGGAGGACAAACCCTACGTCTCAACTCTCTCTGCTTTTTGGAGGGAAGCCAATCTCAACCTTGCCAATCTCAACCTTGCCAATGTGTGTCTCCTTTCAGCCCCGATCCCACCATTTCCTTTTAGGCTAGATTCAATCATTTGACTGTCGGTGGCAACGTTATAGCACGCTAACCAACAAATACTTTTGTTCCACCACCACTTCTCAATCAATCTTGATGGAAGGACGAGCCTGTTCAATTGCAAAGAGCGTACAAAGACCGCTGCTCCGAAAGCAGGGAATAAGGCACACCTCAGACCAAATCAAATGCCTGCAAAATGTCCAGGATGGCAATCAAATGAATCCAAGGAACACGGGAAGAGAGTACTCGACCAATGCAGTCGCCATCAACGTGCTCACCTCACGGCAGAAGTTTTGAAATGTGCAGTTCTGGAAATCTTGAAGGGCTTCCCACCCACTCAGGCGTCCACAACAGCAAGAGAAGTCCGGGCTGGTAAAGCTCGTGCCGAGAATTGGGCCAACTGTGACCATGCATCCGCAGTCGCCACCACACAGCCTGCCCTTGCAAGGCTACCTGGGGTTAGCACACTTGTTGAGGCAGATTAGGCTCCATGATCCAAACCACAAACGCCCATGGAACCTTGTAAAAACCTCAATGGGATTCATGTGCACAGCACCCTTTGTGAGTCTACGTATATCTGATCCAATCTCCAAAAACCAGTGTCTTAAAAGCAATAGTAATGAAGGAATGCATTGACCTCCCTCCCCCGCCTGTTGCATTTGCCAACTGTTGGGAGCTTTCAGCCATCCCCAACGCAATTTCAGCAGCGAAAGTAGCACACGCAATGGTAGCTCTGGAACAAAGATCGCAAGGGAAGATTGCAGAAAGGAGAAGCGGAAGAATCCAACACCTCCTGAGCTCAAGCAAAATGCAATTAGCACTTATATACATTCATTTTACCATTTGCGTTGGTCTGTTTCCACATTGAGGTGTTTCGCGTCGAGCAGTGGCATGTCTCAAAAGCTTCTGGTGCTCTAGGACCATAGTTGGCTCAAGCTGAATTTTAAAAAAAGAACTGAAAAGCTCACAGATTGCCAACCCAGCTCTTTCCACTGTTTGCTCTTGGAGTGACTGTAGTTTCCTCTGGGGAAAATCAGATTTTACGGAAGGTCCAGTGAATTCAGTAGGTCAGTGACAGAACTTGAAAGGATCCTCGGTCGATCAGACCTTGAACAACAACAACAACAACAACAAGAAGAAGACAAGAAGACAAGAAGACAAGAAAACAAGAAGAAGAACAACTGCAACTTCTTGCAGTTGGGAGGCTGCTTCCAAGTTCGAGCACGAACTCGTATTGGCTTTGCATCAACGCATCTCATGGAAGCCGCCACATATCTTTCAACTTTTCGTCTCCGATGCATGGCTACTAAACATGCCATGTATGCTGGGATGACCGCCAGCATTGCAAGGAACTTCCACCATGCAGACAAATTCATTTCAGCAGACAGCACAGTTGCAGTTGTTGCCAAAGTGGCTATTGCCACATCTGTAGGGAAAGCTGCATATGCAAGTTGTGCGCGCCCGAGTAGGGTTTCTGCTTGGGCCTCCTTGGTCAAGAGGAATGCTGTCTGCCTTTTTGCCACTGCAACCGCTCCTTTCCCAGCTGTTTCCTGCCAAGCAGTCGCCAGCCCAACCGTTCCCGTTGCCAGCGGCAGCAACAGCTCAGCGCCGACCCTGCCCAGAAGTACAGGTGACGCAGCACTGCCCAAAACAAACATGCCTGCCACTGGCACCCAGCCACCTTGCACCAAAGTCTTTTGGATTGCTTTACCCTCATCCGTTAATGTCTGGAGGAACCTCTGCAAGTCTTGTTGAGCAGCTTCGAAAGGATCTTGCTTCTCTTGATGTAACGAGGGAGAACCGGCTGAAGGACACAGGACGAGAACGTTTCTCGTGACTCTACCCGAAGGACCGAAGGACGATCCGAAGGACTGGGAAACCATGCCAAGTTCCGCAGCAAGTAAATGAACCTTTCGCCGTTGATCCCTGGACAGTCCGCGAAATTCTCTTGTCTCACCAACCGATAGACCCTTCAATGCAATCCGAATGTTCTCAGAAAGATCATCTGCTGAAAGATCACGTTGAAGTTGCTGAAATTCGCTGATGGCTGCTGAGACAGTGTCCACATTTGCTTCCATTCCCTCAAGTGCACGCTTGGAAGCCTCATTCTCAAGATAGGCAGCATCAGCTTCAGCTCGCGAGGTCAAGGCACTCACAGTCGAATAAAAAGTACTGGCAACCTCAGAGTTCAAGTTGTTCGTTTTCCGTGGAAAATGAAAGCATGATGTATCATGAAGTCCAGACCACCATTTGCAAGAAGTAGTGACATCGAAAAAACAGCACACCTGGTAGAAAGGGAATGCTGTTCTGCAAATAAAGGTGCGAGCGCACAGTATGAGCACACAGTGATCCCAACTCAGGTCGTCACAGCTGGCCACAAAGCCCCAGATGATAAGGTCTTGGAGAACTCTGCAGCTACAGAGGCAAGCCCTAAGCTGGTAGCGCTCATCGCACTGTTTGGAGCTAAGACTGCTGCATCCGCTTGTGCCTGACACAAGAAGACTGCCAGGAGACCCGCTTGCCTATAAAATATCTTTACATCCAAAAAATGAACAGCCTGTGCAAAAAAGAGCTCAGATAGAGCAGCTTGTCGTGATTGGGCAGCTATCCGCCGTTCTGCATCAGCAAAAGACTTTTCTGCAAGCAGGAAGCCTCAATGCAAATTTGCCACCGCAGCCACCATCTCTACAGCACAGCTCAGCAAACTCCAATAAAGGATTTCATAGACGCACAAGAATCGACCACCACGTCCCTAAGAATCGAGCTAAACGCTGTCTGTGCTGCCGCACTTGCGGACACAATCACTGCGACTTCATCTGCTGCCGTCATAAGGCTTTGGGTCGAAGGATTCTGCTCAAACCTTGACTTGAGAAGAATTCAAAACAAAATGACAAAACACAATTCCCCCAATTCCAGCTCAAGGCACAAGAATAGGGGAACGAAACACAGGACAATGCTGAGAAAGGCCAACAATACTCGTGCACGTAGCCCAACCTAGGCCAATTAAGCGTGCAGCAATTGCGCATCGTGTTTCAGCTCTGCCTCGATCTCACCGTCCTCCATCTCTCTAATCACTTCGTTTTCGTCCTCGTCCTCACATATATGACACTGACTTTTCTATAAGCCGCCAAAGCAACCATCTCATGTAATGCGTGCTGCAGGCTAGAGCTCCTGCAACGGGTTGCGCAATTGTGGGCGCAGCTTTGAGATGACTAGCCTCAGCTATGAATTATGTTGATGGAGGAGTCAAACATCAGCTCAATGCAAGCACAAGGCAGAGCTTGGTCATTCGTTGCCGCAGCTCCAACAACCTCATGTTCACCAAAAATACAAGCAATTATATAAGACTTGCAGGAAAATATGTGCATTTTAATCTGCAAAGAAGCATCTTGTTCCAAAAGCTCAAGTAAGCTAAACACCAAGCCCCATTTTCATGTTGCAATAGGCAACAGAGGGTTTTCATCTTCCAGCAAGCCACTGAACCGAAGCAGAACAACCACCCGAGCATAGCTGGAAAGCCTTGGACAATCCAGCACATCGCACAAAAACGCTAATAAAAGAAAAGCCTACACAAAAAATAAGAAAAAAAAATAAGAGCCCTGCTGTCTGCTCTCGAGGGCCACCCAAGCGTAGGTAATGCGGATCCTAGATTGGCTGGATCTTCTTCAAAAATCTTCAAGGTGACCTCGCTGTGATCTCTGTGCGATCTTGCAAATGCTTGCAAAAAGTCTTGTCATGTGAGGGCCAAGAATCACCCCGTTTGCGCCAAGATGCACAAACTGCAGCAAAAATTGCTGTACATCCAGCCCCAAAGGGCAGCAAAGCCTTGGGAACTTCTGCAACAGCCAATTTCCTCTCCTGACAACGTCAGGGTTGAGATTCCAAACGCATTGAAATGACAAAAGTATGGCACTTTGCTCGTGGCAAAAATTGCAAACACCAGAAACTCATCGCAGGTTGTTCAAGTATTCGCGGGTCCTGTTCCGCTGCGTCCGCAAGAGCCTGCGAGAAGCTGCATCGGCCAAGTCCAAGAGACTTCCTTGAACATTTAGAGCAAGTCTGATAAATGACATATTGTATATATCAAAACTGTGAAATGACTCGTTCTAAATCCTCTTCTTGTGTCAATGAAATTAGTATTGCTCTGCTCGGTACATTTCTTGCAGCACAGTATCGTTCCGGAGCTTTCGGCCACTGATGTGTAAGAAAAAATTGCCTCGATCCAGGATGAACATTCGAAACTAACGGCAAAACCTTTCACTTGAATGAGGCAAAGTAAGCAGAGTGAGAGTAATCTGGGATACGATGTGATGCGGAATCGCTGTGTCAAATATTTCCACCCTCAGGATCTGACACTGGCAATTACAGGTAGTGCAGCTGTACCAACCCAGGCAGTGTGGGCAAGAGTTGCAAGTGCTGCTGCCGATAAGACCTGAAAACACATTGACATAGGCATAGGCAACATAGTTATATACATAAACCAAAACATCCTTCCTTTGATGCCAATTCAAGCTGTCTAGGTCAGCTTGTGAGACCCAGGCTGAAAAAATTGTACCGCCTGTGACCAGAGGAGCTTCCTCGCGCAATGCCTGAAGAAATGCGGTAGTTTCTAATAAATTGTCCAAGGTTTTATGGAATCCTGGAATCAATCTGTTTCAATAACAGCCTGTTGCTCACGGAGGATGCTTTCAATTGCTGATCTGAGCCGGCGCGAATCTTGTGAAGCGTCCTCACTGTCAGCAGGTAAAAAAACGGTAAAAAAGAAATGCCCGAAGAAATTCGTCCTGAAATCACATCAACTTCAAGAACGCCAAATAAGTCAAAAAACAAACGGAAATCTCTCGACTAGTTTCAGACCACGCAGGCAAGGCGGATAATTCTTTGTTCTCTGCTTGCTTGCTGCCGGTCCTGACGCAAAGAAAAAACTGACGGGAAGGATACAAATTTGTCAGCGGCAAACCGCACCTCTCGCCCTTTCCGAATGGCAAAGGCACAAATGTTTGCTGAAAGCATAGCAACCCAGCAACACCTGCCCAACGCAACCCATTGCGAGGCAAGATTATTCAAAGTTGTAGGTCCAACCCATGGGACCATGATAGGTTCAAAATGTGAAGAAATGAGCCTGCGACGAAGCATGTCCTGAAACGCCTGCGTTGCATTGGCGCGGCGGTGTGCTATTCTTTGGCACCTGAAGCTGTAGGCTGGTCAAATTGCCAAACATTGTGTCGATTCTCTTCTGGGCACACGGCCCCAACAACGTGCTGGGCAAAGCCATGACTCAGGATCAAAATTGTTGGTAGATACAAAAAATATATCACAGTATATATAGAATATTATTTACATACATGTGCGTCCACATGTTGAGTCCGGAGTGTCAAGCGACATGTTGCGAAAGAGTCTCTTGCTGCCTTGGGACTCAAGGAGGGTGACCTTGTGTTTGATTCATCACTTCCACCATGTTCAACGGTTGTGGAGGTTTTCCGGGTCTATAACTGTTGCTGTGACATCCAATCGAAATGTTTTGCAAAAGTGGTTGGGTGGCAGAATCTTGTTTCTACTAGTTTTTTGTTACTACTAGTAAGGCCCTTGCTCCTAGTAGAGATGCCCTTTGCTCCTAGCTTCTTGTTTGCCACTTCACCTGATTCCACCAAATTCCTTGGAAGTTGTCCAGTCCCGAATGTGTGGTTGTCAATTGTTCGGAGCACTTCCCTGTGGCAAATGGGAGCCAGTTGGCTGCAAAACACATGCAAGTTGCAAAGAAGCCTGCATTAGCAGTTGGAAACTCGAACATTTCCCCGAAATGGTTCCATTGCCTGCTAACCCTTTTTGAATCGAAGATTTGCGTGGCATTCACTTACAAACGTCCCCAATCCGCACACACATAAAGATGTGTGTTCCATTCTTACGACCATCATGCCTTCGCTTGGGGCACTACAAATGACATGAGAGAGCCTCACGTGTTGTCGCGCCACTGCTGCCCGTTTGATTTCAACGCATGCACGAACGCAGTGTGAATCCTCTGAAAAATAGAATGATCAAGTGCCTTCACACGCAGTTCCAGCATTCTCAAAATCATCCGAAGCTGCAAAAATGCATTGTTGCCTACGCTGAAAATGATGGCGCTCTGTTTTCATGCCTGCGATTGGGCCTCGATCGAACATGCATCCATGATACCAGTGCTCCACGCAACCATGTGTGACCTCTATGGGTCATTGATTGGAATACCTCTAAATGCTGTCTCCCCTGATGTATTGTGATAGCATTCTCCATTGGAAATGACACATCATTCTTGCCGCTCAAGCTGGTTCCTTGCCGGCTTCACGCGGCTCAACACCAATTGGTTTGCTTCTGCTTTTACTTCAGTCACATGGGCCTTCCAGAGATCTGCTTTTGTTTGGTTCGCTTTAAATCATCAAGTAGTTTCTTGATCTCTCTGTCTTTCTCATCCGGATCTCGAATTGTTTGCTGTCTTCTGCCTTCTTCTCTCTCATTCGTTTTCAACCAAGCTCATCAACTAAGATCCCAGCCTTGGTCTCCAACGGTCGTCAACGACAATCCAACAAGCTTCAAACCAAGCAACGCAAGAAGCAACAAACATTTGCAACGATCTGAAGTCACATGGTTCGACTTCTTCACCCAACACGTTTTACCACTAAGATTTTTGAACATGTTCAAGACAGAAGGCAACTGACAGGCAACGAAGCAGACGCACCTGCAAAAGCCCAAACTCCAAACTATGTTTTTCGGAATTCTAAAAAAATTGGCATCGTTGCGAAGATATTGCGTCGCCCATTTGCAATCAACATTCTTGCATTCATCAACACAAGCTCCATAAAACCCTGCATTGTTGCAACATCAAAGTTGAATCCAAATTTCTTGCAATGTCCTCAAGACGCCTCAAGAACCCTTTTTGTTGGTCACCCAACGGCAGTCACACGACACGAAGATGCCTGTTCCGGGACAGCAAACTCACCGGCTGTTGAACATGTCTCCAGCTTCCATCTTTGCCAAGTTCCACACCTCTTTCACCACACCTTCAAGCTTCTCCAGTTTCCTTCCACACACGAACGCAACGCTTCCCACAGCTCACAACAGTGTTGGTCGCTTGGCTGTCAGCTGCACAGACGCAACTTGCACCTCGTTTTCTTCGTCATCATGAGCAAAGTTCCCGCTCTTTTTGCATGAAGTCCAATCTAGGACGTTTCTGGTCCTTGGTTTCGGAAGTGTTAAGCTCACAACAGGCTCATGGCACTCGATGAGTCCGGTACACTCCAAAACTCGTTCTCACACTCTCGAAACTCTTCAAGCAAACAACAACTCAAGCTAACGCACTGCACTCCCTTGCGCCCTTTTACTCACAGTTGAGCCAAAGAGTAACAGTCATGTCAAAGACTGTACATATGCGAACTACACACAAGCAACTCTTTACAAAAAGCTTCTAAACACTCGAAAACGCTAAAAAACTCTATTAAAACTTCAAGAAACGAACTACAGTGTTAAAGTCCGGTTGTCTCCCTTTCTGAACACGAACCAAACAACACAAACAAACAAAGCAACAAGCACGAGCGAGGTGGCCATCCAACAAATGGATTTTTCACCCCCTCTTGGACATTTCGCTCGGAACAACTGGCTGACATTAAGCCTTCTTATTCTTCTTCAGTGAGGACAGACATTTCGAACACAAGTCTTTCGACATTGGTGCGACCATGCCTGAGCAAGATGGATTGAAATGAACCTTGCTCCCACTCGCAGGGAAATAGACGCTCTCACACTGCAATGGTGAATCACTCACCGTGATAGAAGGTTCCTTCTTCAAACGACTCTGAAAA